GCAAGCCATATTTACGGAACAACCTGATTTCCCAAATCTGTTCAAAGTAGTGTCACTTTTGCTGTCCGTTCCGGCCACTTCAGCATTTACAGAAAGAGTATTCTCTGTTATGAACGCAAAGTGGTGGGACGATAGGAATAAAGCTTCATTAAAACTAATTAAAAATGAATTTTTAGTTTACTTAAATCTTTGTTTGCCATGTTTAGAGGCTATTAATGTATTTAAGAGCAACTGGCTCCTAGGTGTAACAAAAAATATGTTCTTAAAAACAAAAAATAAAATACTTTATTTTTATGCTGAATACTTTTTTTTTAGTCGAGAAATACTTTATGTAAAGCCTGAAAAGGTGGCAACCCTAGTGTTAATTGACAACTCATTAAATTTTAAAGTATTTAGCGTCTATCAATTTTCATTTTTTGCTAAATTAACCTCCAAGTCGCTTTTTTGTTTCTCCAAATTTTAATCTTAACTAAATGCAAGTTACTACATGTTTACTTTGTATATGTATAAATATACTACTTCAACATCCGTCAACCGTCGATCTATCCTAATGTGATGGTGGTTAGGTATGTACCATACTCGTACGGTGCATTAACGTATACTGTCAGTCCCCAATCGCAAAGGCCAACAGCGCTGCTCTGGCTGTTGGTTTAAGGGGGTTTGCGAACCGTACTTCCCGTTACACGGAAACAAAGGGCCTTCTTGGAAATCGCCGATTTCGTGCTGAAGCCGCCGAAGAGGGTTAGTCATTAACAGGGATCGGAGCATGCCTCTCGCCGCACAATAATAAAACTTTCACAGGATAGGATACACACGTATACTCATCCGTGTGTCCTTGAGCCCAAATCGACGAACTGCAATTTCAAAATTTGACGTCCCACCTATCTACCCCTACTCCGTTTAGTCTTCATACCTACTGTTTGTAACAAATTTTTATTTACAAAAATTTTAAGAGTAATTTTTGAATGTTTATCGGGAACTATTACAAGGTAAATCTAAGAACGCTTACGTAACCAATCACGTTGTTTGAAGGGGAAGCAAATAGAATTTGTCAACTTATTTTTTTTAAAAAATTAGATGTTAATAAAAATGTACTTAAATAGATATAGACATTATTATTGGAAGTCTTATATCAATAATAAATAAAGAAAACTACAGTTTGTAGAATCATGCAATAAAAATTGCAGAATATTTCTTATACTAGTAGTGGGTCGTGAGAAAAAATTATTAGTTTTGACAATAAAATACAAATTAAATAGGCAATAATGCTGGTCTTAGTTTTACTTATTTTATTTGTCAAAGACCATAGGACGATAAGCATAGTGAATCGGCCCCACAGGTATATATGGATTATTTTTTGAGGTTATATTGATACTAATGGGATACGTTAATTCTGAAAATTTTAGACCTCTATTTGGTTTGGTTTTTGAATAAATGTAGAATAACCTCTCAAATCATTAAATCGATTAAAAAGGTACGCCATATTGAAGAACAATAAAAACAGATTTTTTTTATATATAGAACCCGTAAATAAAATTTCAGTCAAATAGAAAATGTGTCGGTCAATTTTTGTCCAAATCTGTCTGGTTCGTAAAAGAATGTCTCATTTATGCTTATTCATACATTTTTCGGAAATTGTGAATTAAATTGGAATAACCACATAAAGAACATATTAAACAACAAGAGCTCAATATCTCCTAAGTTACAAAGAACTTAAATTGATATCTCAAAAAAAATGTTTAGAATTGAAAATTCATTGTAGATGAATTGCGATGTCAGCTTCACATCAATAATCAGTTACTGCCATAACTATTGATTTTTTCGAAGTATTTTGAACAATAATTGTCAAAATCCTTAATGAGGGGACAGCTAGATTATTGTGACAGCATCTAACATGTAAACAAGGGGCAAAAGCCAATTCAATCTAAATAAAACAATAAACAGAGTACCTAAAAATATTTTTTTTAATTTTTTTTTAACTTAAATTAATACTTTAGATGGTTATTAATGTCTTGGTTTACAGACATGTTTTGTGTGTATGTATCCATTAGCAGCTTTACTTGAGAAGCCCTAAAATTTGTATCATCTTACTCATACCCATGCACTTTAACAACAAATATTAAAAATATTTTTTTAATTAGATCACACTATTCGGCGAATGGTTATGAAAAGAAATGATAGATAAGGAAACGGTGTAATAAATAAAATGAATCTTCAAAATTGTCAATGTAACTTATCGACACACCGACTAACTGACGTAGACTTGTCAAAGGCCAAAGATCGTAATAGCGGCTAACATTTTATAAGAAACATCATTTTTCGTAATGTCGCGAAAGGGGTGTACAATATACAAAAAGTATAAAAACAAAGAGAGAAGAAAGTAGCCATTTATACAGTAGATATAGTGTATTTGAAGTAAAAAACCGGCCCCTAAATTATAACACATTCATATTTTATTACTGGTGCGTCATACACAGTGAATGGTGGATATTGACTTGTGGGTACGATATAGAGTTGTTATTATTGTTACAAAAAATGATTACGAAGTAAATGTTTTCTTTAATTTTTACTACTGTTTTCGTCATTTATTAGGTTCTATCTAATGCAATTAAATAAATGCATCACTTGATTTACATTGAGTTAGATTAAACTCATAAGGTTACTGTAGGAAAAGGTAACACCCACTAAGTGACGAAGTACTTTGGGGTACAATTTAAATAAGTCTTCTATGTAAAAAATAAAAACAAAAGGATGAAAAGGTTAAAATAGAAAATACAAATTAAATTCATAAGGGACCATAAATTACGTCACACGTTAAGGGAGAGGTCGACCCAAGTGTGACATTGTGGGACAAGGGGATGGAAGGGTCCTAAATTTCGTGACGTCACATTTCAAAATTTTTAAAATCTTCGTGTTAAAATACGAACTTTGCAAAATTAACAAAAAACTTGATAGCAGATGTAAAAATTGCAAAATATGTGACGTCACACTAGGAAGGGGGAGAGTCTCACAAATGTGACCAGCTGTGACAAGGACGGGGGAGGGGTCAAAAAATAATGAAACTCGTGTGACGTAATTTATAAGACCAGCAATTCCACTTTTCGCACAGGGAAATTAAGTCAAGACCGACCTCTGTGTAATGCGGTAAGATTGTTAGTTTTATCAAATGGGTGTAAAGTTTTCACTTCCATTTAATAAGCTTCTTCATTTTAAAAACGAAATCTGGAAGCTATAATTAATTTCAAATTTTAAAATATGTTTCCATAAAAGGGATATCAATGTTATCAAAACTATATTTATCTAGTATTAGGAAAAAGGAAAAATTCTTTTAAATACACTTTTTTTAAACTTCTTATGCGTTTTTCTTTTCCAGAAAATGGTTTGTACAACTATACGTGCTACATCTTTACCTTATCCAGAGATCCAATCTTGGAAGGAAATTGCTAAATTCGTTGGAGATTATGTCGACTACGAAGAATTAGAGAATCCAATACAAATAGTAAGTACCTAATGAGTTACTTAGTTTCACTTCTTTTTAATTTTTATAGAACGATAATGTTATAAGGCGGTCTTTGAGCCTTAAAAATAAAGTTTTCGATATTATACTATATACTATACTATAAAATTGAATAAAAACAGTTGGTTTCGTTTCGCTAAATGTAATAAAATACACCTGAACGCTTATCTCCTGTAAAGGTCATATTCAGTAATAAAATTATATTCCATCTTACTGAATTAAATGTTAATAAAAAAGCAGAGAACTTTTAAAACCAGGAATGCCAAATTATTAAATCCATTAAGTTTAAGAATGTCACCTTCCTTAAACCATAAAAACCTATAAGGAACTAATTAAATTATTATGGTAGCATTGTAAAATAAAACAAGATGGCGGCAGACGTGAAAAAGTTGAATTACTACCTGCTCCTTATGATTGTTGTAAGAATAAAAACGAAGCAGCTGTTTGTGTATGTGTATGTTGTGACACTGATGCATATTAGCTGTGCTGAGAGATGGAAGCTTAAACATTTAAGTTTATTTTTATAGCAGATGTGATAAGGGATTAACCTTAAAATTAATCATGCTGTTTAATAAAATAATAATAAAAAATATAGTACCTGATCTTACTGATATAATTGGACAAAAGAAGAGAAGGGATATAAGAAGGTTCCTGAACGAAAAGAATATTACAATGAATTATTGGAAAAGATAAATTGTTCTGATAAAGAAACAGCTGATGAGGGTATCACCCAAACAGATAATTTACCTATTCTGATCAACAAGCGGTTATTATGTATATGTTACCGGAAATGTATGAAATCTAGGAATTGTATACTATTCCTAGGAAATACATTTCCTAGAAATTGTATGAAATTCCGATATTGTACTAGGAAATGTATAAAAGTAATCTGTGAATAAAATCAATTAAACACTTTAGTAAACTAAGAATCAGAGTTGTCTGTGAATGGAATAAATGAAACACGTTGTTAAACTGACAATCAGAATACCCTTTCCTCTCTCTTTATCTCCGCGTACCCATTGACATCTTGAATGTAATACATTTCCGATTGCTATTTAGGAAATGTATAAATTTCCTAGGAAATATGTCTAATATAATTTATTTCACACATTTCCGGGTGATTNTTAACATCAAACTCACTCAAAATAATCAATTGTTGATTGTTGTGTTGTAATGGAATTGACTTTACGATTAGTAATAAACAAATTTTATTAACAAAAATTACAAACTTATTTAAATCTATCTTAGTAACTTACTCCATGAAATAAATTGTTAATTGTGATGACAGAATAAAACCAAATACCGTTGACTAAGTGCTTTCACGTATTTTACGTACTTAATTTAGTTTAGTCGATAATATACTGGTTTCCATGAACAAATTAGTGCTATTAAAATTACCTAAAACATCAAAAAGGAATAAGTCAAGTAAAAGGTAAGAAGTACTCAAGTAATAAGATTACTAAACTTTTTACAATGTGCATAAAAAAGGACTGTTTACTTTTCCAGTTTGTATTAAATAAATATAAATGAATATTTTCATTGTAAGCTAATCTAGCAGAATCTTTAATAGCGTCAGCTAAAAGCAACCGTCAATCAAAATATAATAAATAATCACATAACTCGAAACAAATTTATCATTACATGGCAGTTATGGAGAGTCCTTATTCCAGGTATCCTCTTTCATGTGATAAGTTTAGCATTTCTTTTAAAAGAGAATTAAGAGTATGATTGTCAGAGACTTTAGCGTTTCTTTTACCGTTTTTTTTTACAAAACTGCATGACATTGTAAATTTAAAGGTTTAGTAAATAAATATGTACATATGCAGATCGCATGTACAGATATTCAGTAAGTAAAAGGTAACCCACCAGAAGAAATATTGGTGAATGTACCTACACATTTACCTAAAATGTTTGCACATATATCCGAAAATGTAGATATGAAGTTTCTTCCATTGATATTTGCTGATTTCTGTTTTGTAAATATTTATTTTTTGGTAGGTACCTAAACCGTTTTACAATTGATATTTTCATGGCTGTTTTCTCGATATAATTCTAATTCGATAAATCTTGATTCTTCTTCCACCAATATTCGACAAAATTAGTAATTATTCTCGATTTGGTAAGTATTTTCAAAGTAGTAACAATCTGAAGAGGTATACACGACTACGAAAAAGTATAGAAACCCCAAAAAAAATCCAAATTATCCTTTTCTTAGAGATGCAAGTGCAGTCGTCAAAGTTGTGGCAAATGCATTACAAGGTCAACTTAAAACCCTTATACTGCAGTCCGAAAATCGAGATAGCACAGGACATTTTACGTTCTGCCACTTGATAAGTATTCTTGTTAAAACCCAGTAAGTATTCGAAAAGGATAACATTAAGAAAAAACTGGCAACACTTAATAAAAAGAGTTATTATTTTATTTCCAACAACTGATGTTGGTAGTCAGGCTATCCCACCAACCTACACCGTGGTGCAAAGTTGTTGATTCTTTTAAACCTTCTTAGGAATTGTGGAAGTAATTGGGTGATGGTTAGAGAAGAGAGGCTACTCGAACAAAATGAAAACAGTAAGAAAATAGTTGAACTATGTAATAGACATTCTAAACAGTATATAGGCTTTTTAACCTAAAAGCTGGCTTTTCTGTTTAAAGCGGTCATAAATCCGCGACTGAGTACGAGGATAGTTCGATATGGTCACGTATTTAAACACCATCTTGCACTATTACTACTTTTATTTAACTAATTAACACTTTTATTATTAATTAGTTATCAATTTACCACCATATGAATACATTGTCACTTCATCGCTTCTTCTTCTTCGCTTTGTATCGCCTCGAATTCGTTCTCGTACTTCTTAACTAGATCTAGCGACAATTATTTACAAAGACTAGCCGTGTTCTAGAATTATCCAGTATATGCCATCTAGAAACCTGGCCTTCTTTGCCACTATGTATGTCGGGTTGTCTACATACATGTGACATTATCCTCCTCCTAAAACTAATCATCTCAACAGTGACGTCAGTGTAGGGAGCAAGCCGGTCAACATGGACGATCTTCATTTTTGTCCGAGGTCCCTTCTGAATTCGACAAACAACGTCGTTGATGCGTCGAGTAACAGTGTATGGACCATCCCAAGCCTGTTGTAGTTTCGGACAACGTCCCTTCCCCCTCGAGGGGGTCAGTTCTAGTCGTTCTCATAGTTCGCCCAAGTATTCGTTTATATGTACTGTAGTCTCCAGGACGACCAATCATCATGTCCACTGGCAATCTGAGCTCTTTCTCGTATAAAATCCTGGCTGGTGTTCGGTATCGGTCCCAGTCAGATATATCGGTTACCGGAGTCTATCATTGCGAATATCCTGCCACGTCGACTGTGCTTCTCTCTAATCTCGCTCCCACGTACTGCTACATTTTTCCGCGACACCTTGTCTGCGGTCCTTTATTGGCGGCACATGTCGGACATTTCCTGCACCAGTCTTCCACATCGCTTCTACTTCGTGGCCAATAAAATCGCTCGCGTACCTTCCCTAGAAATGTCCTTCGCCATGTTCTGCTTCTAAGACTTCTGAAATTCTTTTTCGGAAGTACCACTTGAACTTGTCTGTGGTCTTTTCAAAAATCCGTGGTCCAAGTTAAGGAAAGTCCACTGCGCTCAATAACTTTTCGTTATTCGACTTATGACTTACATCTGCCCACGATGGTCTTGAGGTTCCAGCTTTTTTCCATCATTGGGCTAATGCCTTCGTCCTTCCTCTGGTCTGCGATTAAATCCTTATCTTCCTAGGATCTCTCAGGCTGAACGGTGATTAGATTACAACAGATCGATGTCAGTTTTTCCTTCTCCTCCGCAGATAAACAATGTTTGCAGTTTTCTACGCAAGGTCTCCGGGATGGTGCATCTGCGTTGCCCTATTGTTTGCCTGAGCGATGCTCGAAGTCAAACTCATATTCTTGAAGTCGTTGTAAACATCGTGCAATCTGTCCTTGTCGGTTCTTGAATTGTAGTAGTCACTTCAGCGAGGTGTGATCCGTTCATCATGTTCGAAGATTTTAACCACATCCAGTAGCTCTCGACGGGTGACACAATAATTTCGTTCTGGTTTAGAGAGTGTTTTACTGAAGTACCCTATGATCTTTTCCTTTTGACAAGACTTCAGTTACGCTTCGGAGGTGACCAAACTGATTTTCCGGTTTATTCCTTGTAATATAGTGTCCCTGAGTCCTTCGGATGTAGCTGGTGTATTACACAATCCTAAAAGCATCACATTGAACTGCCGTAGACCATTTTTAGTTGTAAAGGCAGTCTTCTTATCCTGCGGATGTATATCCACATGCCAGTATCCAGTTTTTAAATCGAGAGTAGAGTTCCATTTAGCTCCAGCTAGACTGCCTAGAATGTCGTTGATTCGGGGTAATAGGTAACTGTCCTTTAGCGTTACGTCATTCAACTTCCTGTAGTCCACACAAAATCTCATGGAACCATCCTTCTTATGTATAGGGGAAGTCCGCGAACGTTGAGATGGTTCTATTACTCCTAGTTTGTGCATGTTTTTTATAAGATTATTGACTTCTTGTTTTGCCCAAAGAACCCTTCTAGGTTGTTTTTTGTTGGCCTCTTAATTGCCTGGTTTGACTACTCCCACCAATCTGCCAATGTCGTCCTTTATTCTGACTTTTACAATGGTCTCAGAGTGACTCGGTAGTACTCGATCTTTCTCTACTACGATCACCTTGTAAGCAGCAAGCTTCGTTTTATGATTTGACATTACTATCTCTCCTCCGCCGATGCGCATTGTACAAGTGCTCAGATTTAAGTCGATTTCATGTTCGCGAAGAAGGTCCAATTCAATAATGATATCATCTACCATGTCGGCTACCAACACTTAAGTGGATAAGATCGCATTTCCAATTCTAATGTCTACGTTGCATTCTCCACGTGAAGTCTTGCCGATAGCTGTCAATATTAGTCTTCTGGCCAAAG